TGTAAGGGACGATGAAGTTGACAATTCTATCTTTTGTCAATGATTGTAAAAGTTTTCTCATATTTTTCTTTATTTTCATTCAAAGACCTTTGAATCATCTCCTTTGCTCTATCTATAGCCTCATAAATGTCCCATTGTAGGCTTATTTTTATTATTCATCAACCAAAGGACTCTAATAAGAGAGCCTATTACTTTTAATATATAAACTACATGATTCCAAAAGGATGACATTAAGATGATATCAATGATCCTCTTGTCTTTTGCTTCTTTTGCCAATTTGCTTGTCACCTATTTCTTAGAGGTAAATATGTTTCTCAGGTTATATTTTTGACGATGCACGATTTGTAATGTCAAGAATGAAATAGCAAATCGGGTGATGCCATATCTTATAAATTCTTTATTGTTTGTGAATTTTCTCTTCATATTCAAAGTCCAGCATGATTATAGAGAAATCCAACAATAAAGATTATCTTTTCTAAAGTTTTTTTGATGTCAGGGATCTTTCCAATATCCTTCAACATTAAATCAATATAATGTGCTGCACTATGAAGTCCAATATAAGTGATGTCTTTTTGTTTCAAGTAATTGACCTGAGACAAATGATAACAAAAATGATAAAACTTAAAGAGTTTAATACATCTTCTATTTAATTAAAGATAAAGTAATTAAAATTTAAAAAAAATTCAAAAGATGAATCTTACTAGCTAATACATAGTTGCTTCCATCGTCGGTTATGGCTTGAATAATATTTTGTTTACCAATTTCTTCCACGAACTTGTCTAGTAAATAATATATCTTATCTTTAGATTTCACAAAATATGAAGTATCTATTGACTTCACAAATATGATCCTTAAAGAATGGTTAACCATAAAATTATTTATAGGTCCAAACATCTAAAATAATAGAGCAATCATGTGTTACCCATGATCTTTTATGGCTCTTTAATAAGTCATTTATATATTCCAACTCTTATTTCAACAATGGAACTTGCATCTCATAATAACTTGGAGGTTTTAATCCCATACTCTATCTTCTAATAGCTTCAATCATCTTCTTAAAACTGTTTAAACGAGTTGTACCAAGGAGAAGACCAGCTTGATAGAAGAAACGAGCAATGTACTGAATTGTTCTTCCTTTTATTTTTTATCTCAAGCATCACTTATATTTATTTGTTTTAATTTTGAGCCTCCTGCTTGCCCTTGTTGCTTTTGTGATTCTTAAAACATATATAGATCCATCGGTCCCTTTTTGTCCTTCTTAGTAACCATAATTTCTTTGCCTTTTCTGTAATGTACTTTTTTTTCACTTGGGTTGACACTCAAAATAATCTTTTTCATCATCATTGTATGTTCAACGTTATCGTAAATTCTCATAAGATGCATTCTTTTGCATCTTCTTTTGATTCATATAAGCTAACAACTCTTTTTTTCACCTCAAGTGGACACTTCTTGCAGGTTACTGCATTTTTTATATTTCCTACTAGTTATTTTGCACGAGAAATACCACCTCTAGTAGTCTTATCACAAAAGATGCAAATAACTGCATTAGGATCTTTATGATCCTTTAGATAATTATACTTCCAGGATTCTTTTTTTATGTAATTAAAGAATCTATTGAGTTGCTTTGTATACTTGTCATTTATCTTGAAATCGTAACAATAATTTTAAATAAATAAAAATTAGTAATATTAAAATCAAAATAATATATCATTAATATAATAAATAAAAATACTATTAATAGTATATTAATAATATACTATTAATATATTGTTAATAGTATATTGAGTCAATGTGAGAAGTAAGAGTAGAGATCGATGTGAGGACTGAGGAGGAGACCAAGGCTATTGACTAAGAGTAGCGATAGTGGCAGCGGTAACGACAGCAGACAGAGGCAACAGCAGTAGAGAGAGGCAACAGAGTTGTCGGCAACGGAATCACACGTAGGGTTAGGGAAGTCACGACGAGGGGGAGGATGATATGCGTGCGTTAGTTGGTTGAACCGAACCAACTAATGCAAATGCGACCGACCAGACTTAAAAATCTAGTTCGGTCGCCTTGTTTAAATTGGGCGCTTGCCTGAAGTGCCCGGCGCCTAGGCTTGGGTGAGCGCCCAGGCGACGCCTCTTTGAAGCGAACCACCTGGCCATTAAACGAGACGTTCGGGCGAGGAGAGGTGAGGCCCGAGCACCTTTTTAAATCACTATGAAGGACATGTGTAAGATTTATCAATCATATTATCATATTAGCAAGAGGAAAAGTAGAATCAGATTCTACCCTTGACAACTAAGTATTTGTGTAATTTCTGTTCAGCTCTCCTTGTTATGCTACCTAACATAATTTGTCTCTAACCCGAGCTACTGTTTAGGGATTTGTTGGATCTGAAGTTACATGTTTATTTTTTTTACCTTTCCTTTTTCAACTTAAAGTTGTTGGAACTTATACTTGCTTCTGATGAATGCAGATGATCTACATTGACCACATAAACATAAGTGTTTATCTTTTCTTTTTGGGCAGGGACCTACATTGATATGAAGTGCCCGTTCACTGGAAATGTTCCAATTCGGGCCATATCTTAGCAGGCACATGTCACAGTTCTAAGATGAACAGAACAATTATTATTGTACGCTGTAACTACCTTCACTATGTGAAAGAAATACCAAAGGCAAGCATGGACCACGATGCCATAATTTCTAGTTGCTTAGTTGAAGGGATTGAAGATGTTATATTCTTGTCATAGGTATGAGAAGAGGCACTCAAATATTCCTGCACACATCCCCCTGCTTTGTTACATTGGGTTATGTCAGGCCGCTGGCGAAGACTGTTCGGTTCAATGTACGAAAAGTCATCTCAGCTCGATCTACGAGTGGAGGTGGGCAGAAGGCCTTCTCAGCAGTTTTGAGTCTTGCTAAAGATACCCATAAATTTTTTTTTTCCTTTTTTTCGCAGTTTGTGTAAGACCTGTGTTGGATAAACACAGCATGAGAGTTTAATGGGACGCTGTTGAGATGGTAAAGAGACTGGTAAAGGGGTTGTACTCTGTATCCTCACAAAATTGATTTCCAAGATGAATTCTTATTCCTCCATTGAAGGATTTGAATTTTGTTAAGCTATAAGTCGGCAGTGTAACGTTGTGCCAAGCTTGTTTATAAACTGTTTTTGAGGCACCATTTATTGGTCGGGCAATATTGATTTATTTTAAGGTTTCAGGCTGGTAAAGATTTTGTGTTTTGAATTTGATTTTCGATTTCGTCGCTTTGACATATGATATGACAAAAAATGGCAGACCCAGCACAGCCGGACGAGACAGAAGCAGGTAACGGTTGAAGCTCGCCCATACCCTGCGATCTCCCGGTCTCCCACGCAGCCCCAGTGGCAATGTCAGACGCCACCAAAGGTACAGTCCTGCCCTGCAGACAGCTACGTCGGGTAACATCAAACCTCCTCTATAAATACCCCGAAGCCCTGAACAAAAGAAGGAAAAGAGGAACTCACTCAGACACAAAACACTCAGAGGCTCTTCTTCTGCCTCATCCACAATCCCCTCCACATTTTTCTCTAACTTGATCGTCGGAGGGGTCGGGCCGAGCTCCCGGCCCGACCTGTGTGCAGGTGCGAGACGGTGTCGCCTCTTCCCGAAGCTGCGGCGGAGCTGCCTCCCGACCCGAGCCGCCGACCCGACCTGCCGAACCGAACCACCGAGCTCGACCGCCGGGAGACCTCGAGGAGCGCCCCCACGGAGATCACCGCCTTCCGGACCCGAACCAAGCCGCGACGGCCCCTAGGCCAAGGTTAAAAAAGTTACTTACCGTAACAACATTAATTAAATTGATATAGAATCTGTACTTCTAAGGTTAATTTAACCAAAAGAAGGGCTTGGCATTTCGTCACTCAGCCTGATTCGATTCTTTCCTCTTTAATACGAGGAAAGACAATAACAAGAAAATAACCTCAACAACTCCTTAAAAGATTTAAGAAGAAAGCCGATGTGGGTATGGATCCAAATTCGTTATGCATCGAGATCTGTGTTGGGCCCTTGATTAGCACATCAGGATTCGGGCATGCCTTGTTTCCCTCGGGTGTCCATGAAGTCGTTGGATCTATATGACCTCTTTCGAGCGTACCTTGTTTCCCTTGGGTGTCCGCGAAGTCGTTGGATTTATGACTTCTTTCGTGTTCGTTATGCATTAAGATTTGTGCTAGGCCCTTATTAGCATCATCAGGATTTGAGTATGGGCTAATTACATATTACCTCTTATAATTATATCTCTTTAGCATCCCGATCCTTAAATTTAAAAAAATAACATTGAAATTTCTATAGTTATGAAAGTAAAACATATAACTCAGTTTACCTTAACGTCATCGATTTTATCAACGAAAGCATGAAAATGATAGGCAAAAAGATAATTTCAATATCTTAGTTACGTTTTTGATGATTGTGGATAATGTCGGTGGTCGTAAACGATGGTACCGCTGTGGTTGCGAGTGATTGTTATGGATGAGGAGAGAGAATAACGTCGAAAAGTGAGAGTTGTTTTGCATATGCGTTGACGTTGACGTAATTATTCTATGTCGACGTTGATGTAGTTGTCGAGCGTCGATATTTTTGTCTTCCTCTTCCTCTTCTCTTTTTGTCTCACATTTCGTTATCGTTCTTTCTCTTTATCCACAACAACTATCTACGATCACCATTGTACGTCATCATCGAAAGCGTAACTAGGATGTTGAAATTATTTTTTTATTTATTATTTTAATACTTTCATCGATAAAATCCATGGTATTAGAGTAAATCAAGTTAAATATTTTAATTTTTATAATAATAAAGATTTTAATATAAATTATACAAATTTATGGACGGTAAAGCTAACAGCTCCGGGCGCTCTCGTTTTCCTCGGACGTCCACCAAGCCGTTGGATCTGCGACCTGCGACCTCCTCCACTGTCTGCCGTCAGATTCGAAAGATCTGGGCCTATGATTCCTCGCATGTCTCAAAGCAAGGATCGTTTCTCTGGTCGGCTCGGTAACCAAATAGTAAGGGAGACGGGGGATCTCCCATCTCTCGGCGCTGAGCGGTCGAAGGCATGGAGAAGGGGAAGGGGTTGGCGAGGCGATGGGCGGTGGAATTTGCCGAGAATTCTTCTTACTCTTCATCGACGTCTGACGTTCCAGATCCTATCGGTTTCAACCGATCTGCCTCTGATCCCGTACTCCCCTCGCTATTCCTCTCCCGCTTCTTGATCTTTTCGCACCGTTCCGAGGATCTGTTCTGATTTATTTATCTTTTTGGGATCTTGGATTCTTACTTCAGGACGACGCAAATGCCAGTCGACAGAAGAAGGACGCCGAATCGGCCTGGAAGTCGCAGGTACTGATGCGTTAGGGTTTTGATTCTTCATGTACTTGATTTTAGAAACCTCCCAAGTCGATCGAGATATAGGTTTAGATTTCTTCCCCTTTCCAAGTCCGGTTGCCGGTTTCCCCTTCTAGATTTAGATGAAAATTGTCTTTGGAATTTGCTAATCAAGTCTGCGCTTATGATTATGATATTTGCTTTATTATGAAATAACAAGGATCAGTGATGGAGATCTGATGGTATGGTTTTTACGTTATTTTGTGAACCTTTTGGAAATTCAATTGGAAAACTCAACTGATGAAAATATCTTTTTTGTACTAGTCTCAGTAGCAAGTCTCACTAGATTGATAAGAACAAGTGCCCTACTAAGTTGTCAAGGTTCAATTGAGAATTTGGTGTGATCCCCTATTATGGTGATACCAAGGGTGAAAATGGATTGGATGTTGGGAAGTTATTATACATATCCACTTTTACTCAGTGGAATTCAAATTCAGATACAAGAACTTTTGCCAATTTTTGAAATAATATGAAATGGGAGGATACAAATTCGACTAGGATTTAGGTTGTTCAAGATGTGAATTTTGACAGAATCGTATATTTCATGGGCAAATGATTAAGGCACTATATTAAACCAATCTTTGACAAATTTGGACAAGAAGACGAGAAGACTTTAAAGCAACTGTGAAGAAGAGTTTAAAATGAAGAAAAGATAATATATTGCGCCAAAAAATCAATCGAATTACACATTTCTTTAGGTTAATGTAGGTGACATTGACACTGTACAATATATGCTTACCTTTTTCTGAAATGCAATTTTTTATTCTGATATGTGGTCTAAAGAACTGATACCATATTCATACTCATTTATTGAAGATTTCTGATTGCAAGTTTTAGATGTGAATATGGATTTGTGGTGGATAACAATTTGTGTAACTGATTTTGGCCTTAACATGATACAGAAATGGGACTAAATAGATACATCCGCCACAGTTTCATTTTGACTACTGGTAGCTTTATAACAATGTGGTTGCTGGCCTTCTTGTTTTGTCTGTTTTTAGTTTATTCGATTCCTAGACGAAATTTTGAGCTGATCTGGTTGCACTAAAGTAACGTGTTCATGGCTTATATGTTGCACTTTTTGAAGTGACCTTACAATTACTTCAATCCTGTTTCCAGTTGCAGCTCGTTGTCTCATGCTCATTGTGATATCTAAAGCAATTTGCCATTATTTGTTAGTTTGGCATTACTTTGATACCAGGAATTGTCCATTCCTTTTAAACTTATCAGCCATCTTAATCATTGTTGTGTCAGCTAAGTATCTCATTTGATAGATGTCTAGGATGTTTTTGCTGATTCAGGTCATTTATATGATTAGTTTCTGTATGTTTATTTTGCTTCTACTAGTATCGTGTTGTCCATTTGCCTTTGCCAGTGTCTGTTTCATGTCTATTTTGCTTTCACTAGTATCTTGTTGCCCATTTGTGTTTGCTGCCATCATTTTTCTAATTTCTTCTATGTAATCTGTTTCATCCCCTCCTTTCTTCCACCTCTTCCTGCATGAAGAAAGCTTGGGAAGTGGCTCAGGCCCCCTTTAAGAACTTGTTAATGATGGGTTTTATGATGTGGATGGCTGGAAGCACAGTGCATTTGTTCAGTATTGGCATCACATTCTCAGCCCTTTGGCAACCAATAAGTGCTCTTCAAGGAGTTGGAAAAGGTATTAATTGTTTGATCTTGTTATTAATTGGTTATGCTCACATAAGACAGAATGTTTACATATGTCTTTGATTTGACTCATATACATGTACCTTAGTCTTGGCCTCATTGGAGGAGGTGGAGATAGTGGACAGAACAGTAACTTAGGAATGAGAAACCTAGTACTATATGTAGGCAAGTTTTTTTGCATTCTATTTACTTCATGGAACACCAAAGATGTATAGATACTTTCCATCTGTATAACTTAGCAAGATTCCATACCTTATAATATTATTGCTATATGCTATATAATAGGTGACAAACAATTCTGACGAAATAATACTTATTCTTCATTTGCAATTAACTTTATATGAAATTTAACAGATAGGCACACTGCACATTTGGCTTCTCCAAGGCCAGTGTTTTTTCATTTTTCATTTTATCTTTCTATCAGAGGGAAAAAATAAATTTTCTTTTTTGGCGGAAGATGGTCAAATAATCCTAATTAGTATGTGAAACTTTATTAGCCACTCCCAGTTGTTTTTTCCATCTAGTAGTCGATCCTATTATATAATTAAGCTGCATTCAATTTAACTCTTCTTAAATGAGAAAAAATATATTAAAATTGTTAGTTTAAATTTTTTATCTTTAATCTATATTCTTTTGTTACGGTTACTATTTTGTGACAACACTAGCTTGCCATTTTATGTATATTTTGGCCTCTTACTATAGCCATTTAAATGGGTTAAGTTAGTATTTACTACTATCAAGAGAGTGTCTATATTTGGAAGAGAATGGATCTTTGTCATGGTAGTTATTCTTAGAATGAACCATATGGATCTGGCAGGCAAGTCCTATAAAAGCTGCAGGATAGTAGGAATTAGCCATGAAATTCTGAAAATAGTTGCAGTCCATAATCCATTGCTCAACAGTACAATCACATATAACTTGTGAAACCTATTAGCTCACTCTCAAACTAGAATCAACTATATCTGATTACGGCTTATAATGGGAAATGGATATTTTTAGAATAAAGTAATTATTTTGGTAATAAGGGTACATGATGAATAGTGTGTTAAACTTCGAGTTACTATGAAATCTTAATGCATGGAAAGTATTAATTTATATTAATAGATGTTGTTTGCTAATGACATTGGTTTAATTGATGAAATACAAGTTAGGATAAACTCTATAGTTGTCACTTTTCAGATTTGTTTGATGGAAGTGGGGTGGCTCAAATTAGCACATAATGTCAAGGAAAAAGGGGAAGAATTGAGAAAGGTGTTTGAAGAGAGATAGAATGACTAATCTTGTCCTTTAAGTCCTCTGTTCTAGTTGGGATCAGACTGGATTGTCTAGTCGTGATGATAATTTTTGTGTTCCACTCACTCATTGATGTTCAGCTTGGATATCTGTCCTACTAATCTCGTGTTGGTCCTTATAGAGTTCTATTACTAATTTTATTTTGTTATGTACTATACCCCAATCGGAAGAGACAACTTTCTACGGGGTGAGCATCATCTTATAAATAACAAACCCCAAATCCAGTATGGCTATAGTTAGAGACTAGTATTTGCTTTTAGAGACTAATTATAAATCTTGTATAGCTAGGGGTTTCAAGTTCATTCTTGGAAACCCTACATTCTTCTACGAAATAACCTGTATTATATGGATTTTTTTAGTGAAGGATAAGAAGCTTTTGCTTCAGCATGAATTATTGAAGTCTATCTCTTTGTGGAAGATCTGTTAGGAGTAAAATATTATGTGAAGATAGCGTGGGACTAAGGATGGGAATATAATACAATGCTTCAATTAATTTTATGCCTCTTTATTGTCATGTGGACAACAAAGAACCTAATGGTTGGCTTAGATGCAAACTGTACCATCTAGAGGGAGCAGATCAACAGCTAACAGGGAGTAAATTAGTGACTTGGATCTGCAACTTTTGATCGACTCCTGCACTAAAGATCTGGTCCAACATGATTGATATATTGACTTGGGTTACAACCTACTAACCTACAGGTCCTGGGTTGGTTGCTGTGTCAGTCCACATGGTTTAGGCCGATTCGATCGAGTGTGAGGTCATGTGTTAGGCTGGTTTCCCAAACATGTTCAGCATGGTGCAAGCCAGAATTTTCTGAGCGGGTCCACAACGTATATAATCTGAAATACAACCTTCTCAATTTCTCTTTTTAAATCATAGGAAAAGATCTTCCACAAATCTTGTTTTGATTACAAGTTCACAAATCAGGAAAGATAAATCAATAGAATAAGAGGGGATAAGAGGTTAAGCGAAATAGGAGTCTAAACTAGTATCAGAGGAGATCTCTACAAGCAAAGGCGATGCCCACCATCCGCTCCTCTCTCTCGCTGACGGCATCTTCTCCGTCATCGGCCTCACTCCCATGGCGACTTGAGAGGAGGAAAGGTCATGGTATATTTATAGGATGAATGTCCTACCTCTCCAAGAAACCCTAACCTTGATCTAATTAGGAATTATAATCTAATTAACTTAACTTGTACTCCTAATTCAATTAGAAATTTCTTTAAATATCTACCTCCACTTTTAAGCAAGATATATTCTTAACCTAATTAGGAGAGATACCATCTCTAAGTTAAATACCAAAATACCCTTAATTAATTTTAACTAGATTTAATTAAGAAATCCCCAATATAGCCTTATGCAAAAATCCAGGTATAACAATTGATTTCTCAGTAATGATCAATCTCAATTGATTTTAAGCCATTAGCTGATTTTAAGTTATAGTGATCAATCTCAATCCGGGTATAACAATTGGTTTTCTGCCCCTTGATGCAAGAACATTTTGATTTATTTTTCTCTTAATTTTTTTAGTTTAGGGTTTTTTTATTGAAAATATCATAAATTTGTGTGATATCCTTTTTTCTTTGCAAATTGGATTTGCATGTCCTTTTATGATATTATGTTATTTTTGTGTTTGTGCTTAGCTATGCATGTACTTTTCATATTATGTCGTGTTATTTTGTTTGTCAATATGGTTTTACCTTAATTTCTTCCAGTTAAGATTTTCAAGTTTCTTTGTGTTTTGAAATACTAATTCTGTTTTTCTTTCAGTCTTTGAACCTTACAAGGATTCAAAGGTTGATATTCTTGCACCCAAATTGCTCTTTATTGCCCTTAACTTGGCTGCACTGGCCTTGGGTGTCTGGAAGGTAAAACTTGCTGAATATAATTGTGCATAATATTGTATAAAATCTTATAAAATTGCTGTGTATGATTCATTTTCTTGTGGTTTGACAGCTGAACACATTGGGTCTTCTCCCATCGCATGCATCAGACTGGGTTTCTTCTTTACCTCCTGCACCGGTACGAATTCCTGATTCTGGATCATTTTTCATGTGTTTCCACTTTGTCATTTGTTGATGTGGTCCTTAAAAGTATTCTGGGCATGCTTGAAACAGAAATCCTTATTCTTCTTCTAGCTGATGCTATTGAATTGCTACTATTGGTCCAGGAAGTGGAATATTCTGGTGGGGGCCTTCCAATCCACTGATGTTTTTTTGCCCAGTTCATAGTTTAGGAATCAATTCCTGCGTGGGATGCAAATGCTGGCACCAAATGTTTTCTGACAGTGAAACAAGCATCAGCACAACCGATTTGGGTTTTTGGATGCACTATATTACATGTTTACATGTGACCCTATATGCATAGCCCTATGTTTTTGGATGTGCCTCACAAGTTATCTCTCCTTTGAAAACATTAAATTAAGATTTCTATTTTACTATGAACTTTTATTATTAATCATCTTTTATTATGTAGAGTTGTCCTCCTCCATTTACACCAGCTGTGATTTATACACAATTGACAGATGCATGAAGTAGACATGGAGTCCATTGGGATGTGGTTGTCCATGCATGAGGTTGGTCCTGATATCATTTGCATTCATTACTATCAAGAAAGAGAACGTCTGCTGTTGTTTTCATGATTACATAAGCTTGGTTTGGTCTTATGTTGCTTCGAAGGCAAGCACTTCAACTTGGGTTAGAACATGATGAGGGCATGTTGGTATTAGTCAAACGTGGTTTGACCCCGGCTTTACAAGTTGTCTCTTTACCATCACAGTGTTATTTATTATTTGATTCGAATGACATTTCTCAGCTGAAGATGATGGTTTAGATGTGATGATTGGATGAATGGATGGACATGAAGGATTTTAATTGTGTGCAAATTAAAGTTTCTTTTTCCTAATGTTTGGTTTGTCAAATCCTTCATGTTAATAGGACATGCATCAGTCAATTTCATAAATGTTAATAAAAGATATTTTACATGGCATTCTAATTCCATACTGTTTCTGTGGATGCAATAAATGTTAATATTTGGTCATAAATCTTAATTTAACATCAATGTGGCTTTAAAATTAAACATATCAAAGCCTACCTTTTCTTATATTTAGGTAGAATTGAGTTTATGGTCTTGGAGAGTAAGCTTTGGTGATTATAAGTTGTTTCTTTGTGACCAAGATTCTAATTACAAATTTTTTTAATTTATAATAAAAAACAATGTATTATTTTCTACAGTTAGGTTGTTCTTTAGAAGGTTACTTAACTTGGAATAGTGCAAACCTAGATGGAAAGAAATGTTGGTTGTACAAGAAGTACTAAATGGAGTAAGATGGGTATATATATAT